CAACAATTTCGATGTTTTTACTCTTACGATCAACACTCCAACACACTCACAATAATGACTGCAAAAAGCATTCATACATCGAAAACTTGAAATAAATTTCACGTATGTGAGTGGAATGCAACTATAAGAAAAGCTGAAAAAAATGTGGTACCACATAACGTATGAGTGCCGTCATTAAAAAATTTCTGTTTTGCGAAAAAAAGTTGTTATAAAGTGAAACAGTGAAAGTATCTGTAAAAAGCATATAACAAATAAAAACTGAAAACAATTTATAACAAATATATAAAAAATATCATAAAAACTCTTATTTGTATGGTTTCGATTTTCCTTTGCTAATACTTGTAATTTTTTATCAAATTATATTGAACAAATTTTATTATTGAACTTTAATTTAAAGTTTTCTTTTTTTCGCAGTAGTTATGCTAATATAAGAAAACAATTAATCAAAAGTAAATTATTTATTGCATTTAAAAATTAATCAATTTTGTTAAATTATTAAACTATCAAATCAATGTTTTATAAATAAAAATAGCTTCATATATTTCAGAAAAGCAGAAACCGCTATAATTCAAAAGTTTTCTCTATACGTTTAACAATATATATTTAAATGCATCTCATACTGTTTAATAAAGGATAGACTTTAATTAAATAGAGTTATTTTTAAATAGGTAATGAGGCCGCCAATTGACAATTAAGTGATGGAGTGAATTCTTCATTGATTTACTATCAAAATTTCAAAATACGAATGCAACCAAAGTTAAATATATCAATATCCAAACAAAATCGAGATTGTGCAAAAAAAATATTTGGTGTTTAAGAAAGTGGTGGTATCCTTTTTACAAAAATCAAGCTTTCGTTTGGAATTCAAAGTTAGTTCGCGTGTGTCTTTAATAATTAATTACTAATAACTAATTTGATAACTAAAGACTAACTACGTCTTTGATGTATGATTAAATTTTTGATTATCAAAAGAATTAATAAACACAAAAAATAAAATTTTTTCCAAAAGCACAGACTTCTAACATTTTGTTTTGTAGTCCAATTGTTTTCATTATGGTGCATTGTGGTACAGAATGAAAGCTTGCGGATTGGCTTTGATGAAAAATTTGAGAAACCTGTATATTTACTAACTAATTGAAAGAATACTATAAGCTAATACTAAGCTAAAATAGTTAAATATAAATTAAATATATTTATTTATAACTCCGAAATCGATAGAAGATTGCAATCATTCTTCAATCGATGTCTGCGTATTATATTAGGCATATGGTGAGTTTTGAAGAGTTATAGAGAATAACGCACCAAACAAAGGTAAACAACGAGATAAAAAGAAAGTAGAACGGTTGGATTGGACACACACTGCAGAGGACAGAGAACTGGGGCAAACCAGCAATGACCTGAAGAAGAAGAATCGTTTAACGAGTTGAAAACAAGAAAATAGAAACCAGTGGAAATCTTTTGTAAACTCCTTAAGCTCCTAATGGAGTATGGAAATAATAATAATATTTATATTTATTTACTTATGTATTTACAATAACATAACATAAGTATTAGGATTGCTTAGAATTACTTTATATTTCTTGAACATTGAAATTATAAAGATTTTGTTATTAAAGGTATTAATAAAAAATTAATTATAAAAGCTCTGTTCGTGCCCGTATTATACTTTTATATATCTAAATTCAATATAAAAAAGATAACAACACCTACTGAAATTTCTTGGAAATATATATATTTCCTTAACATTTTTTTTATAACATCTCCTTTTATATTTCCGCGTGTAATAATAAAAATAATACGCTGTTTAAAAATAAAAAGTGCTTTTATTCCAAGAAATAAATGAATGAAATGAACCTTTTGCAAAATATAAAAAACCACCCATATAATCCAGTTTTAAGTCTTATTTTATATATGCAATATTCATTGCTGTCGATCTACTGCAATCCAACATTAAAACCAATTCATGATGTTACCATATGAATTGCTGAATTTTTCCGTTTGTGCGGATTTTTGTAAAATGTCCATTACACATAATTGAACTGTCAGAATAATTTTTTCTGTTGCTGGCTTTTTGCAAGCAACGCATCATAAATACGAAATGACCATTATATGTGTTTACATTTTATGCAACTTTAATTAAAGATTTTTTATTTATTATTTTTACTCTTATTATCATATGAAATTTTCACGTACTTGCGTTGCTTAATGGATTTTATAGGTCTTAAGTTAATTTTATTATAAATGGAATTACCAACATTATTTTTTGATATCCTGTACGTTGCACTTAAACTGATTAAATGATGTAAAATACAATTACAAGTTCATTAATTTACACATAATTTTGCTTAAATTTAAGCTAAGCATTTTTAAACCTTTATACTTCGTACATTATGTGTATATATGTATATATTATAAAAAAAACAATATAAAATATACTACACAGTTCTATTACTTTTGCCATCTATAACCGTACAGAAAAATATCAATACTGAGTTTAAAGCTAAAAACTTTTCCTTTGACAAATTGCAAAATTCAATCGATGCGACCATTTTCGAAGGGAAAATAATAACGAAAAAAAAGTAATAGATTTAAAGTATGAAGAAAAATGTTTCATATTTGCACGCGAAGCGCACACAATCAATTTAATGGGAGGGCTTCAGAACGTTAACCAAAAACTAAAAGAGGACAAAAAAACAAAAAACAAAACAAAAAAAAAAACAAAATCATACAATAAAACGAAAATTGTCCTTTGAAACGCAAACAGCGCATAACTAAAAATACTTGCATACTTGAGCTTCCTTACACGCCCGTAGCATATAATTTGGACAGTCAATATTGGTGTTCACATTGTATCATAGTAACAAAAACAAAAGGAATAAGGACAACAGCAACAGCAACACCACCAACACCAATGCCAATACCAACCAACAGCAACAATCAAAAATTCTAGCACAACATTACCACCAAATTTCGTATGAACCAATTTAACGAATTCTCTTTTGGTAACTTGGCTTTTATATTGACTCGATATTGGCTCGATTATGTAAAGCACATATTTAAGTAATATATAAACAACAACAACAACAACAATAAAGTTAGTAACCAAAATAGTTAAAATAAAAATAGAAAAATTATACTTATAAACTTATGTAAATGTTAATAAATTGAATTTTTTTTTTGTTTTGTTAGTGTTTGTCGTCTGTTCCTAGACGATCCATCATATGTATACCACATACCACACTTTTATATGAAAATTATTTCCACAAATATTTAAATATTATAGTTTTACATTGAAAATTCATTTAGTAAATAATTTTCCAGTATTCCAATATTCTGTAGTAGTTTTAGTGTTTTTCGATCCTTTCAGTGATAATTAATTGCATGGTTGTAATATGTATGCAATGAATATTCCACTCAATAACAATTTAGAACGTTAAATTGTATGGAATTTTTTCAATGAAGTTATTGCACATTAATTTTCAACATGGCATGCATAATTAAATGCTAAATAGAGTGCATTAAGGAATAATTAGTTTGTAGACCACTACAGCAAAATACAATTAAAATTATTTTCAAAATCGTTTTGTGGAAAATTAACAAAATATTGCCACCATTTTACACCATTGCCACCATTTCGGAGAGGTATTAAAATTATTTATGGTATATTAAAGAACAGACAGGTATGTGTACTGCATTTAATAATACACCAAAAAGAAACGATATGGTGAAAATAAATAAATACAGTACATTTTTCAAAAATGGAACTTTCGGGGACAACAGAAAATGTTTCTGTTTAAGCGAAATTTGTTTTAAGTGAAAGCTAACCTATAAAGTACTTACTGTTTGCAACTATTATCACCTAACCGTATGCTAGAGATACCTATAGTACAACCACCATACTGCTCTGCTGACGCTGCTCTCTTCTTCTTCGTTCATACTCTTCTTTTTCTACTCTTGTATATATGCTTTAGTGTTGCTAGCTACTTCGTACTTGACACTATGTATGCATAAAGTGGCAAATCATAAAATAAAAATGTTTTCCTATAACAAAAAAACGAGACTAAAATCGAATTTGAAAGAATTTGAATATATTTTAAAATAATATATAATTATTTATTTACTAATACTAAGTCCTTCGCCCTGTGCTTCATATTAATAATTATATTCAAATTTTTTTAAGTATGTATATGGACAGGAGTAGCTTTATTATATTGTAGTCGCTATTCTTGATGGTATTGAAAAGGATGGGTTGCTGCAGCAGTTTCTGAGATGGTTCATGGTTAGAATACATCCACATTTGGGGCATGTCAGTTGATAACTCTTTTGAGTAAGTGATTATTAGATTGCTTAGGAATGATATATATTTATATATAATTTATATATTATAAATAGTTCTAAATATTCCAAGCCCACTGCCGATAGCTTCGGTAAGAAAGTTAAGCGAGTACGACGGAAAGGTGAATGTCGTTGTAGAGTTGGACACAGCAAACTCTGTAGAAAAGCTGCTTAGTAAAAGTAAAAATCTAAAAGGGTCACAAATCACTTTAGAACGGGATCTTGATGCTGGTAAACTACTACATAAAAAACTTATGTTGATTTTAAAACAGAAAATTCTCACAGTAAGTAAAGTACACAGGGTCAGCGTTAGAAATGAAAAATTAAGAATTGGAGACTACTGGCTAAGATGGAACAATAAAAATGAACTTGTTTGTAATGATCAAAAAGGCGAAATGGTTTTAAAAATATTGTATAAAGAATTAGCTACAAAAATAGATATTAATTATGTAAATCTTTTAAAAATATTAGAAAAGAAATAGGGACGCGCTGTCTGCGGAGGAAATGAAAATAGTAGTACTAGTAATATAGTTAATAATTTTAGAAACTTGCGTATTTTGTCATACAATATAAACGGTTTAAAAAATAAAATGATCTTTCCAGATTTTTTCGAATTCGTCAAAGGCCATGATATATTTTGTTTTCTAGAAACACATATAGAGGAGAAAGACTTGGGAAACTATAAAAAATTTTTCTCGGGTTTCGAATTACATTTCAAAAAAGCTACTAGAACAAGTCAATTCGGCCGTGCTAGTGGTGGAGAAATGTATGGAATTAAAAAAGAACTAAGGAATGCTGGCTTTATGTATTGCTTTGAAAATATAAATAATATTAACATTATCAACATAAAAACAAAATATATAAATTTCAAAATAGTCCCGTTATATCTAAACTGTAACGATTGGGAAAATAATTTCCAACAACTGGCAAATCATCTGGTGGAGGAAAACGTTGAAAATACAATTTTAATTGGCGATTTAAATGTCAGAATAGGAAATATACAGCAAAACATTGAAGAAATATTTTTAAATGAATTTAAATCAGGCGTTGAGTGTAGACAATCAAAAGACGTAGTCGCTAACAGCAGAGGAAAAAAGTTTATTGAGCTGTGCTGTGATTATGGCCAAATAGTGCTTAATGGAAGAACGGCAGGAGACATAGAAGGCAACGTCACATATATAAGTAGTAATGGTTCTGCGGTAAATGATTTATGCACAGTTTCACAAGAAATGCTGACATATGTAGAAACCTTTACGGTAGAAGAAAGAGAATGGTCCGATCATATGCCTTTGGTGATAAGTTTAAAATTGCAATGTGAAATACAACAAAACACGGAACGAAAACTGCTTCCGACCCTCAAATGGAAAGATGCAAATAGGGTTCAATATAGCAAAAAACTTAAGGAAAATATAAGGACAAAGCTGCAAAATAAAACACATCTAGACTTATCAGATTTAACTGATGTTATACTAAAATCTACTCCCAAAATACGAAAATGTAAGGGATTCTATACCAAAAAATCAAAATGGTATAACTTCCGATGCTTTGTCGCGAAGAAAAAAGCTAAACACTTGTTGAGAAAATATAGAAGAACAGAGAGCAGCGCTACTAGAGCAAATTACTTAGAAGCAAATAAGAAATATAAAGATGTATGTCTGAAAAGTAAAGCTGAATATTATAGAAATCTAGAGACACGTATAAACACAATTAAAAATGGCAAAGAATGGTGGAAGCTAGTTAAAGAGCTAAGAAATAGGCCTTTAATAAATGAGGTACGAATTGCACCAAATGAGTTTAAGACACACTTTGAAAATCTTCTTAATCACACGCAAACGGCGAAAGATGTGCATTATGCTCCAAACTTTATAGAAATAGACGAGCTCGACAAACCTATAATGGTGGGTGAGATATTGCAGGTCTTGAAAAAAGCGAAAGACGGAAAAGCACCAGGTTTAGATAGAATCCCTTACGAATTTTACAAAAATGCAAATACGGAATTTTTAGAGCAACTCGCGAAGGCATACAACCAGATGTACGACTCAGGAAGGGCAGATTCAAGTTCTGAACCGAGTATAATATTTCCAATACACAAGAAGGGAGATAGTTCAGTTGTAACCAATTATAGGGGTGTGGCATTTATGAACACAAAAGCAAAAATATTGATGGGTGTGCTCAATGAAAGATTATCCAGTTGGGTTGAAAACAATAACATCATGTCTGAATACCAAGCAGGATTTCGTAAAAACTATTCCACGGTTGACAACCTATACAATCTAACATCCATCGTAAAGTTGAAATTTAATGAAAAAAAGAAAGTATACGCTGTGTTTATAGATCTAAAGGCGGCTTTTGATAAAATCGCTAGAAAATTACTTATGTACAAACTGAGGAGCATAGGCGTTTCAAGCAAATTTGTAGATTTTATTGAGCAGATTTACGAGACGACAAATTCGGTAGTTTGGAACGGAAGCGAAGTATCTAACAGTTTTAGCACAATTTCTGGTGTCAAACAAGGTTGTTTGCTTTCCCCCCTTCTGTTTGCGTTATATCTCAACGACTTACACGATTATTTGGACGGTGGTTTGCAGGTGGAAGAACTGAATATAAGGCTGTTGTTATATGCAGATGATATAGTCATCTTGTCCGATGATGCAGAAACGCTACAGAAAATGATATGGAATCTTGAAACATACTGCGACAGTTGGAATTTAGAGGTAAATTTAGCCAAATCGGCAGTCATGGTGTTTAGAAAAGGCGGTAGGCTGTCTAGTAGAGAAAGGTGGACATACAAAGGGGAAGTGCTTAAAATAGTCGCTGAATATACATATTTAGGGGTAACGCTCACGCCAAAAATGATATTTAAAAAACACCTGGAAAACAGGAATATATCTGCAAAATCAAGCATAAATGCCACTTGGAGTACGTATTTAAATAACGATAAAATTTCAATCAGGGCAAAGTGGCAAATGTTCAATGCTATTTGTAGAGCCATACAAGGCTATGCGGCGCAAATTTGGGGGAGTGACATGTTTAGCGAAATAGACAAATTACAATGCTACTTCTTCAAAAGAATTTACAGGCTTCCCAATTTCACTCCAACCTACGCCATAATGCTGGAATCAAATATGGAAAGCGGGCATTTGTACACAATGGACTTGCATTTAAGATACGTCTACAAGACTTTGTTTGAATATAATGAAAGGAGATTGCCAAGAATATTGTCACAAAAAGTTCTGCAAAAAAATGTATTTTGGGCAGAGAGACTAAACGTTTTGGGAAATGAGGCAAGCCTAGTTTGGAATGATGAAACAACAAGCCAAGAATGGAAGAACAATAATTTCGTATTATTAAATCACTTAAAAGTGGAAAACAGAGTAAAAATGTGGCGAAAAGCATTGAGAAGTGAAAGCCGAATTTATAAGTACCTAGACCATAACTTGGGGGCTCAATATTTTACAGAAAGCTTCAGTCGTGCGCACATAATGTGGATTTTTAAGGCGAGATGCGACTTAATTCATTTAGATGGCAAATACAATAGAAACTGTACACTGTGCAATCTCAATGAAACGGAAAGCATACAGCACTTCTTAGGCCGCTGTCCTATATTAAGGCCGTTTAGACGAATTTGTTTTGAGAGAGAAACGTTAGTGGAAGAGGAAGTAATCAATGTGCTTAATGGGGAAAATGATCCTAACTGGAAAAAATTGATTAACTATATTACTAGTGCTTTAAAATACAGAAAACTAATTATAAATGAATTTAATACTTTTTAATTAATATTTAAAAGCATATACAATTAATTTAAATTCTGTATAATTCCTTTTTTGTATTGTAAATATAAATTAAGTTTTTAAATTTAAATTTTGTAAATTCTTAATTTTAATTTTGTAAATTTTAAATTTTAATTTTCTAAACGTTATGCAAGAAAGTAAATTTATTTTAAACCAACATCTCCGACAGACGACTATAAGTCATTGTCGTATTCTTTGTTTGTTCATTTCAATATTTTTAAGTAACTATAATGTTTTTAGACTTAAGGCTTATTACTTATTTATGTTAAAAAATTTTTTTTTGAAATTGAATAATAAAGAATCTAATCTAATCTAATCTAATCTATCTATATTATAAATAATAATTTATAATAAATAAAGTCAGCAGCTATTAAAACCTTTGAACTTCCGGGATTTGCTTTCTTTTATTTGTTCCATTTGTTAACATTAAAACAGACTACTATTTCACTTATATGGAAGTACTATTTTAATTATGTGGAATAAGTTCACAAATTTAGTGGCTAATCATGCAACTGTTTCTAATATGAACAAATATCTATCATCAGAGGTTTTTACAAATTTTTGAACTACAAGTGCTTATTATTGAACCTTGTCAAATTCAAGTCACAAACTCTCACATAAATATATGTAGCCCAATTGCTCCATTTAAGCGTAATCTGATATAATAAAAACACAAGCTCGGATTTGTATAACAATAATTTTTAATTAAAATATTTGAATCTCTCACCTGTACCAATCGTTTCAAGTATTTTGTCTCTAAGTTTACAACAACAATCACCAAATGCAGAGAGTGAATTTTATTTTATTCTACTTAAAAATAAAACGCCCGTATTACGATTTATATTTGCTTTTCAGAAATAATTAGCATACAAGAGGTTTTATTTTTGTATGTGAAAAATAATAGTTATTTTTGTGTTTTTCGTTTTTAAGGGAAGAAAAATAATTATATTTGCTTTTTAAAATAAGAAGCAGAATGCGTGAGTAATTTGTGTGTAAAAAAATTAAAGCTGACTAACAATAATTTTTTATAAATATAATATAAATCAATTTTAATTATCTTTATAATTTTTTTATAAAAAGCGAATGATAAGACTTTTAAGTTGAGTTTTTTTCAATTAATAACTGTTAACAGTTATTAAATTAATGACTGTCATATCAAATTTTTATAGTTAATACTTGTTATTAAAAGTCATATAAGCTCATTTATTTATTCAATTATGTATATAGAAAAGTAGTTGGAAATAACAAAATATTTATCTTTTGAAAATATTATAATAATACAATCTTTCTTATATTTCAAAAAAATTAATACAATTTTGTATACAGTACTTTTTCTGTGCTTTAAAGAGAGATACAAAAAACAAATAATGGTTGTGATCTTTAATATTCTGAATTTAATTTTTAAAAATATCATCAAGATATGTACATTTTTAGTCAATAAGTAAATGGCATTTATTTTGAAACACTTTAAAAAATGTAATCAGTTGCCTTTATAAAAAGCACATCCTTCTAAAAGGAAAATATCTTAAATATTTTGTGACTGAAAAAATAATATATTGCCTTAAATTACAATGTCAATGAGTCTTCCTATTTGTTACGACATTTTCTCCGCTACTCGTTGTGTATAACCTTTAACTATGAATTTAAATAATTTAAAAAAATGTACTTTGATACACCGAAAGGAGAAGATATTTTTCACTTGTGCATCCTTAACATCATTATAAGGATATTGTATATATATATTTTTTCTATAAAGCTGTGCAAGTTTCAATGTCAGCTGCTACTGGATTATTTCAGATTATGTTAAGTCGCATACATTTTTTATATTGACAAGGCAAATAAAACCAATTTGAAAGCA